TTATAATTTCCTGAATATACCTTCAATTCTATTTTTGAGATAATTAATAGCATAGTTGCATTAACAAGTTTATTATTCCTCATTTAAATATTTTTTAGGTTACTATCTATCACAACTTCATAAATTAAAGATAAATAAAAATGGAGGTATTTTTTTTAAGATTCAAAAATTGAATTTTGGGCAAGTAATTTCAAACCTTTTCAAATATATAGAACAGTTTTTTATATCACAATTATTGTAGAATTCATAAGATATCCTGAAGCATAATCAATATTACTTTCTATGCAGTCATTATTTTATTTAATATATTTGATCTTCTTTAGACCTATTAAATCAAATTTTGATTTAATAAAATTGTTGTTTAGAGAAGTCATATTTTTGTTAATTACAGGATCATTATTAGTCTACAGTTTAGAATTAAATGAGGATTAATATTTACTATATGGATGGTTACATATAGCTCTGTTTTGTTTCATAATGGGCTTTACTTTAATAGTTGACATTTTCTATTAAGGTAAATAGGCATATTATTCCCATTTAAAAAATATATAGAAGAAAGAAAAAAAGCAAATTCAGTTATATTATGATAATCCATTATAAAAATTTGTTTGGAATGACAATTTAAATTTGAAAAAAAAATATGAATTATCAAGTTAATTATTACCAAATATCTTAGTTTATTTTTATAATTTTCCCTATAAATACTACCTTAAAATTAATTTTTTATTATAATAGCCCTTCAATTTTATTATAAATTTTGCTTGATCTCCTAATTTTAAGAAATACTTTTAAGTTTGCACTCAAATGCCATATTTTCTTATCCATAAGATATTCCAGATCTTTGATTTTATTTTGCTTAGGGAATTGAAGCTTCTCAATTTTTATTACTGTAAATATAACACTTGACTCTTATCTAAACATAATGTAATTGGATCACAAATCAATTCCAAAAAATATAGATAAAAATATCTATTTTGCTCTTCTTAAATGTATTTAATAGATAACCGATATTTCGTTCTTTCTTTTGATTTCCATTAGGCGATCATAACATTTGTTTGGCTTTTTTAATTCCTCACGATTTCCCTCTTAGGTAGACAGCATAAAAAATAAGAATTTTTCTATATGTATATTCTTATTAAATTTTACAAATAAATTATTTTGAATAACTAATATTTTCAACTTATGATAGGCCTATCAAATCTTTTTGTTCAAAAATTTAATGAGGTCTAAAACAAATAACAATATTAATCTTTAGAGACAAACATATATATATTTGATATTTGGAGCATAAACAGTTCTCTTTAATTCTTTGGCAACTTAATTGCAAAAATAATTTTTTTAATAACTAAGACTACCTAATTTCTATTATTCTTTTCTATTTTTGCAAAGTCAACCAATTATGAACATAAAATATACAGTGTTATCTGTTCCTGTTGGTGATTTCTCTATTTTAGATAATTAATATAATTATACAATCCATTACATTTCTTATATAATATATAGACAACATTTTCAATATTCTAAACTTAATGATCATAAAGTTAGTGAAGAAAATATATTTCAGTATTTTCTCTATTTAATTTTTCTTAATTGTTGCACAATTCTAATATCATTTGAATTTCTGAATTCCTCTATATTTAGAGCTCAGAATCTTCATATATTAAGCTAATAGGATTATGATGTTGTGTTAATTATTAAATATCATTGGTTTAGAATTATATACATAAATATATAATAAAATACTTAAGCTTTTCTTATGTTAAAAGTGTTAGATTAAAGTTAAATACAACAGCTTGAGAATAATAAAATGATTTTATTATTTGAATATTAATTAAGTTTATTATTTTAACCTTGTTGATTTATATATATTAATTATCTTATATTATTGAAAACTTTATCTGAATAAATATATTTAAATTTGATTGATTTTCTGATTAATTGTAAATATGAATTTAATACATCATTGATTAAATAATATCTGAAAAATTGTTAAAATATAAAAGAAATTTACTATAATAATAATAAATAGATAAGATTTATAATTTTTTAATATCTATATTCTGTTAATCTATAAATATAATGTAACTGAAATATTTCCAGAAGCATAAAATTTTTATCTTATTGAATAATTCTGCATTATTAATGCTTATTAAGCAATTAAGTTAAAATTAAAATTTTTTTTCTTAAATGCTATTTTATTATTTCATTCTGTTATAAAAAGAATGCACAGAGAATAGAGTTACAGATTTATTAGTATTCATATGACAATATTAGGATGCAAAAATTAAGAATTAATTAGTTTTTAAGAATCAAATTTAAAGCAAAAGAATATATAGGTTGCAATCAATCAGGATACCCTAATTGATTGAAAATAGTTCACAAAGAAACTTCATTCAAATTTTTACTATAATTAATAAACTAAAAAAATTTAAGATGATATAATTAAAGTAAATTGCAAATTTTATAATTAATTCATTATCAATTCTTAAGATTGCATCCATAAAATACAATGCAATATTAAGAATTCAAAAAAATTAATATCATAATAGAGAATAAGAATAAGTCAAGGAGATTTCTTGCAATAATATTAGAAATTAAATAGATAAATAGCTATATATAAAAACAGATTTATAAAGTAAATATGGAAGACCAACAAACAAAACTTACAATTAAATATCCAATGAGATGTAAATTTTGTACAAATCTAAAGATATGTACAAAGGATACAAAAGTTATTTAATAGAAATCACTCTAAATTGTCTCTAAGACTTTTTAAATTAAAAAACAGTCATCATACAATTGTAAATTATTATTTAAAATTAAACGAACAAAGAATAATGAAAAAAAAATTAATTACAATTAGAAATGTTTAAAAATATCAGATTTTTTATGAGCTATATAAAATTAATTTTTAGAGTCTAAAAATTTCTAGAATCTGGAAAAATTATAACTAATGATTCTGATTGAAAATTAGTTTTAAACATCTTTGTCATTTATTGCTATTAAATCCAATCATTATTCAGATGTTTGAACAACTGTTTATTATCTTTTTGGGTTTGAGGAGGTTGTGAAAGCATCTTAAATCCTGAGCAATCCTATTTGGGTGCATCAAATCCTGCTGCAATTAGGTTATCCCAATCAAACCAAAGAGTGGAGAATAAATAGTCCGAAGGGCAAGGAACTGCACCCATATTCATACCATCAACTCTCACATTTATTCCAGTGTATCTCTTCGATACAGGATAGTTTGGAATGTTGAATGCCTATCTGAAGCAAATGGCTGCAGTACTAAAAATAATATTTTTTGATTAATTCTGATGAATTAATATATATTTGTGTGAGGTAAAAAATAACAACAACTGTTTTTCTACCTTTGAAAAAGGATGAGGCAGCTGTTATGAAATGTTGACAAGAGATCTTAAGATATTTATGTCTGAATTCACTCCTGTGTTTTGGAATTTTTGCCAACCTAAAGGCAAGAGATTAAAATAAATTGATTGATATTCATTTTGGATTCAATTATTTAATGTTATATTTTGTTTTTCTCTTTATATTTCTTCTTTTCAATTAAACTTATATCATTATAAAAGATCACTCCTTGCCACTATTAGTTGTAAATTTTCAAATCTACTTTTACTTCTACTTAAATACTACATCTAGATTTTATTTAATATTCCTAATATTATATCATAACTAACATAATCATGCATTACTGTTTTATAAAAATACTCATATCTCTTAATTCATCTATAATTGTATCAAATAATTCAACTTGTCTCTTACTTCATTTTGCATTTAAAAACCATTCTGAATTTAAGAAATGATATTATTTGCTCTTATTAAGCTCTCAAAATAAATTTCATTTATATATTGATGAACAAAATCTACACCTTATTATAATGATTCAAATTTGAGTCATTTTATAAAATAATAAATAAACAATTTATTTATAAATTAAAATTTTAGAAATTCCTATTCATATTAATTTTAAATTCTTGTTTTAAAAGTACTATTAATTACTATTAAGCCTAACTTAAATTAATATAAATATTTTTGCATTTAATATAAAGGATTACACAAAAACAGTTTATGCTCTAATTAGAAAATTTAAATTAATAAATATTACCATACAAATGAATAAATTTGAAACAGTGATAATGATATTTGTTA